ATGAGAAAAAGTACCCCCTCACACGAAGGGGTGAAGTATTTATAACAGCGGCTGAAAAACGAACCGTTATGTGCCTCTACGGGGTGACCGGACGCTCCGGTCAGTTCAACCCGCACACCAGTGATTAAGTGTTGACCGGACGCTGGCAGGGTCCGGTCATCACTGACCGGACACGTCCGGTCGCAAATATCCCTCACTGGAACCTTACTGGAGTCTACCGGACGCTGGCCCTCAGCGTTCGGTCACTTGACCTCTCCAGCGTCCGGTCAAACCGGACTAGTTCATCTTAGTCAAATGAACTGATCGGACCCTGCGGCCAGCGTCCGGTCGCACCGGAGCCAGCGTCCGGTCAGTCTTTGACCCTCCATTCACCTCCAACTCTTGATCATTTGTGAATAAAGTTTGCTCCAAAGGATCTTAGGCATATTTAGGAGCTACCTAGTGCTAGTTTTAACAAGTGTGCACCACACCTAACTCACTAGACTCACCTAGGTCAAGCTACCCATCCAGACCCCCCTTAATAGTACGGCCAAAGGAAAAACAAAGTCCTAAACTACTCTAAGTGTCTCTTCAACTCGAAACGACACTTAGAACTAGTCATCCTTAACCTTGTCATCCATCCTTTGAAAACCGAAACGATTTCTATCGTAGGGGCATGACATCCACGATTGCCCAATCGATCTCCATTACCGTGACCTAACTTAATTGCCTCTGCAAAACACACGTTAGTCACAGTAATCTTTTATTGTCATTAATCACCGAAACCTAAATAGAGGCCTAGATGCTTTCACTGTAATATTGTACATCGTCCATAAATAAGAATGAAATTAATGAAATAAGAGCTTATATATTACAATGATCGTCCACATTCATCAAGTTCATACAAATCATAATAATTTAAACCAAGTCAATACAAACTAGCTAGCTAGATGTTCAATTTACACACCAAAGTTCATGCAAGCGCAAGTAGATCACCGCCAAGTTTGACTACGTCGTATTATGTACTCGGTGAAGTGTAAGTCACCGATTTTGTATCCACAAATATCATTGACGTAGAGCAACGCATTAAGTAGTACACTCTCCCTTGCTTCAAAAGTATGAGCACAGGGTCTACTAACGACGGAAAGCGGTAGTCGAGAAGTCAGCGGGTCAGATAATCCCCTCTTAGTCGTAACCAGCTTTTCCTCAAATCCTTTCGTAGTGAGTGTTGGCCATTCATTGGCATATTTCCAATCAAAACCCAATGCATACATTGTCTGGTTTAGAATGGCTTCAAAGCTACAACCTGCATAGGTTAAGTAATAGTCCTCAACCTGTAAATGTTGGCAGAAAAAATGGATATGAGAACAAACTTTTCCAATAAAAACAAATCTAGAAATAAGCTATGAGTTTGACTTCGATTTTAGCACATCATTTCGGTTGGTTCGAGCAATTGTTGCACAGAAACTCACAACATCATGATACAAGCCCGCATGTATTGCTTGTATCGTCAAGGAGGATAGTGTAGGCAGGGTGTACCCAATATTTGCAAGCTTATTCAAACATTCATTGATAGCATATTTTTGTGCAATAGACTTCTCAGGTGCCTTTATTCTTATCTCTAAGATTTGTACAACACCTGTACCCCTCCTAGCGGCGATGGAAAAGCCAATTCGATATTGGACCAATCGACCATTATCTACATCAAAGCTCTCAATATCCACTCCCTCAACCCTGAAATATGAAAGTGTCTCTTCAAGCCAAATGATTGGATCAATTACCTACGTTACATTTAAGAAAACACACACACACACACACATATATATATATATACATATTAGAAAAATATATTGTGTACAATTATATTTAAAACATATTAATGTATTAAAACATATATCGTTGATTACTATGCTAGCTTACTATGCTAGGATGATTGAACGGTACAGCCGGCAACATTGGTTCGAATCCCCAAGTAATACAATAGCCCCAACTCGGGACAATCGGTTCAGGGAGACGTCCAGCCATCTCTTCTCACTAAAGTTAATATATAAAAATTCATATCACTGGAGTCAATATATGAATTCATACACCAAAATTCATATATTCATATATATGTATATACAAAATATCAAAATTCATATATATCATTGAAGTAAATATTTTTCATATACCAAAATATCAGGCACTAAAGTCTATATATCAAAATTAATGTAAACCCTATATATCAAAATTCATATAACAGGACCCCGCAATATGCATACCATATATATACAATATATCACACTAAAGTCAATATGTCAAAATTTATATCATCTTTCCGCATATATATATATATATATATATATCAATTTGTATCAAAATATATCACTAAAGCAAATACAAGTCAGATCGAATACAAATAGCTAGCCAATTAGCTTAAGTTATTAGGGGTGAGTGCTCGGTTTCACACAGCAGGAAAGGATATGATGAGACGGTGTTGGCACACCTAGCAGCGCAGCAGCGAGGCGAGGTCGGAGACGATCGACGTCGAGGAAGGAGATGAAGGCGCCGACGGAAATTGACGTGGAGGCCGGAGACGAAGGCGCTGGCGGAGAGGAGGACGAGGACGAGGCTGGCCGGACACTAGGACGAGGGCGCCGCCGCGCGCACCAGGGAGACGAGGATGAGGGTGAGGCTGGCACGGCCGGAAACGAGGACAAGGGCGCCGCCGCGCGCGCTGTGAGGACGAGGAGGAGGCCAACCGGTTCGAGTTGAGGGCGAGGGAACCGCCGCGCGCGCCGGAGCCGAGGACGAGAGGTCGAGGCCGACCGGCCGCCGGTGGACGAGGACGAGGATGAGGGCGCCGCCGCGTGTGCCGGAGACGAGGACGAGGACGAGCCGCGCGCCGGAGCCAAGGATGAGGGCGAGCCGCACGCGCCGGAGCCGAGGACGAGAGGTCGAGGCCGGCCGGCCGCCGGTGGTTGAGGACGAGGGCACCGCCGCGCGCGCCGGGGAAACGAGAACGAGGGCCCGCCGCGCGAGCCGGAGAAGAGGGCGAGGTCGGACGGGCGCACGGCGCGGGTGGTGAGCGGCGGAGCGATGGGGTAGCGGATCGATCCGGTTCTCTGGGTGGTGGCGATTTAAAGGTGGAAGAAGAAGAGCAGAGACGAGTATATATAGGCCCACAACATTTAGTCCCGGGTTGGGCCACTAACCGGGACTAAAGGCCTTTAGTCCCGGTTTGTGGCCCAACCCGGTACTAAAGCATTTTTTTGGCGCGTGTCGAAACTGCTGCCTACCCGGCAGTTTCTTTTCCCGCCCATGCAAGAGTGTTTGACATTTCCTTTAACATAAAGGCTGAAAATTAGAAATTGTGTAATAAAAAAATATAGCTCAAAAATTGCAATATAAAAATGCTTTCATATACAATTTATAATGCTTTTGTTTCATTACATGTTTAATAACATATGCTATAAATTATAATTACAATTTAAAAATTCAAATTTCACATTTGAGAAATTCAAATATAGTTTTTCTTGACAAGTGATTTCAAATGAAGGATAAGCCGCAACCGGTTGCGCGCTAGGGGAGTGCTCGACCTGTCGTCTTCGCCGCGACGCGTCGTCCCGCACCTTCTTCTTCCTCCTGCACCCCTCCTCTGCCGCCCCCTCCCCCATCGTTGTCGAGCACCGACCGTCGTCCTCGAACTCATCCTCGCCCCCATCGCCGTCGAGCACCGGCCGTCGTCCTCGACCTCGCCCCCTCCTCGTCCTCGCCCCGTCGCCAACCACCGCCTCGCTGCGCCCGCGGCGCCGCCTTCTTTCCCTCCCCCTCTGGCCACGGAGAGCTCCGACAATGGCGCCCCCGCCCCTCCCTGGCCCGGTCGCCTCCGCCGCCGCCAGAGCCCCGAACCGCCCGGCCGCCGTCCCCACCGCCTGGTGGGCCTACCTCCCCGGGGCCCTTTCTCTTGTAAGCCCATCAGAGTTGGGGAAGACCGCCGCCGCCATCGCCGGGCCCCTATCTGCACTGTCTTCTTCTTGAATTCCGGTGGGTCACGGCGCGGGTGGTTGCGGGACGGAGAGGGAGATACGGGAGGGAGACGCGGGGTCACGCTCTCTCGCGTATTGGAGTTTCCCTTTTCCGATGGATGGCCCCATAGAAGTATGCCAGAATGGGACGTTGCCCGTATTGGAGTTCCCTTTCCGATGGATGGCCCCGTGGAAGTATGCCAGAATGGGACGTTGCTCGAATATTGACGAGTCGTAGTTGCCGAGGAAGGGGACGACCAGCTTGAGCTACATGACCCTGGCGGCGGAGAGAGGAGAACCGCCAGCGGCGCAAGGGACCCGGTGGAGAGAAGAAAGAAATGCCCTAGGCCCCGTTCCGTTGAATCGAAAAGATTCCCAACCGACCATGTCCTTCACTAATTTGTACTTGCATGAAAGATTTCATGACCGGGAACGTCCCACAACCGAACGGGGCCCAAAAGTCTTCCAAACGCCGGTTCTCCTGTTTCTTAGCCCATCTGTATGCACGAGGATTACAAGTGCATCCACTGTTGCCCGGCATTATTTAATTCACCCGGCAGATACTTCACAAACAAAATTCGATAAATATAATAAATAAATAGTAATATACAAATGCACCATCAGAAAATATGTTTATCTAAGTTCTTTTCTGCCGGCAACCGACAATAGATGATTTAATCAGGACTAACGAGACAATATAAGCTTAAAGGAATCTGAAGGTACGCTCACCCTTAAGTATGAAGAGGTCGATTTGAAGGCGAAAACTGGGGCAACTGGGCAAGCAACATTAACAAAAATATCTGACATCCACAGAGCCAAGTGAAAAACATTCCGCCGAACTTGAGTTACAAAACTTAAAAGGATCTGCAACTTACGCTCAAAATTTAAACAACCACAACCATCTCACATACTAGCATAAGCACCAGGATTCCCCAAACCCACGAGAAAATTTCCTGCTGAAACAAATTCGAAGGGACTTAAACATTGTGGTAAATGCCTATATTGCAATAGTGTCTAGCTCTTGGAGGCCTTGTCCTTGGTCTTTTGGATCTTCAACACCTTCTTCACGATCTTCTGCTCCTCGACCAAAAAGGCACGGATGATCCTGAGAGGTGCGGGCAGCTTAGTTTCACCATTAATCATTTTAACAGACGAGCATGAGATGTGAAAGAATGATCACCTCTCTCTAACTGCAGTACCAGACAGAACACCACCATATGGACGGTTCACAGTCCTGCGGTTCCTTGACAATCTGGACCTCTTGTACTCAGCAGGTCTCAGGTGTGGAATCTGCAATTCAAGCATATGCAATATTTGTGAGCAGTTAGATAAGATGTAAATGACACAAACTTGAAATCCAAGGTGAACTTAAGACTATCTATTCTGATTAATCAGTGCAGTGGCTACACCTACATGTCATGTAGGATGCAACATGCTGTCATGCCTATAAGGCGAACAATCCTTAGCAGATTCAAGGAACAGTATGCACAGGGAATTCGTCAATATATATTACTACCAAGCACATGTACAGTTGGTGTAATGTAGTACTCAAACAAAAGCAATCTCTATTGACATGTGTGCAAGGAGTCAAAGAACTTCAGAATTAATATTTTAAAAAATCATATAAATGTAACAAAATCAGTGCATCCTAAAGATAGTAGTACACAAAAATCCTCCAAGAATACCAGACAAAATCAGGTGGTCAGAAGGTTGTCAGTTAGGAGCGAAAGACAATTCAGTGTAATCATAGTCATTACTGATCATTTGAACTATGCGATTGATCATCATCCAAGCCTCACCACCTGAATAATTCTACCATCAAAGATAGCAAATAAATAGAAGATAACAAAGGAGCAAACAGATTGGATTGCTTTGAACATCAAAATAAAAATTGAAAAAATGCAGGGGAGAGGAGGTATGCCAGTGCAAAGGGCCTCATAGAGAAGATTAGGCAGAATCCACATGAAAGTTTTCAGACATATGCTTGTCATGTTTCTCAGTAATCATAGGCCCAGTAGTACGCCAGAAACAAAACAGGGGCAGTACATGTGTTCAAACTGGAACAACAACAACAACAACAACAACAACAACAAAGCCTTTAAGTCCCAAACAAGTTGTGGTAGGCTAGAGTTGAAACCCAGCAGAAGCCATCAAGGTTCAGGCACGTGAATAATCTGTTTTCCAAGCACTCCTATCTAAGGCTAAGTCTTTGGGTATATTCCATCCTTTCAAGTCTCCTTTTATTGCCTCTACCCAAGTCAACTTCGGTCTTCCTCTGCCTCTCTTCACGTTACTATCCTACCGGTGCCTCTGGAGGTCTCCGTTGGACATGTCCAATTTGGAAGTTACAACAAAACATGTTTGTAAGGCGAAAGCATAGATGAGAAATCAACATCAACAGAGAACATCTCAACAACCAGGAACACCAAAGGGATCCAATAATGGTGACATTTAATAATAACCTGTACTACACAAAAAAAAAACAATTCCGTGCCGGTTTCTACCCAGAACCACTGCCAGTTATTTGAAGTGAGAGTAACAAATCAGCGAACCAGCCAGTAGGGAAACTTGGTGCATTTACCTGTTCGTGTTATGAACTGGGATGATAACCATACATCATAGTCACTTCATAACATGAACAGGCACCAGAGCCAGAAAAGAGGCCCATCAAGCTCAATCAATTTACAAAGTACACAATGCAATTCCATGTAATTGGCATTGGCATCAAAGCTCACAATCTCTCTGCCACCCTGATTTGGTCTAAACAAACGGCAGAAGATGCAAAGATCTTCATAACCATTTAGAGCAAGGTGGACATCTAATTACCCTTTATTCCAGCTCCTAAGAGGAATTGAACCATAGTAAAGATGCAAGCCAACCATCACAAGAATTGAACACAACTAATAAGCATGCAAGTCAAATGTATCCCTTGTGTGTGTGTGTGTGGGGGGTTCAAGGAAAACGGGCACAACACAATACATTGTGACAAATGTGTACACTGTCCTGCAATGAATAATATAGGACCAGTACCACAGATAGATATGTTAACAGATATGACATGCAAATTAACCAGCTCCAGCAGCACATGTTACAGCAAGCTAAGGCCTAAGGATCAAAACCAATGTAAAATCTCAATCATGAAACAAAACAAGCATTATACCTATGGTTCAAAACTACTATCAGAACAGTCAATTAAGCACTCAAATGTTTGGTATACACTACAAATACAGTTTACCAAGAGCGTAAAGCATTCTTTTAGATTTAGGAATAACAAACTGTTCCAACCAAGAGCCCAAAGCATGGTTCAACAAGAATACGTGCACTTCAACCCCCAGTTTGTAATCAAACTTCACAAGAATATGAGCCATAAGCTACACAAAATATTAATGCCGCAATTCAAATACATGCTCCGTCAGGAACTCGTAGCCTAGGTTGATCACGCAGCATTCAAAATGAAAAATCCCTGCATAGAGCATGATGCAGTGACCTAACGCGAGAACAAGTGGATATGACAGAAAGGTGGGCAGAACATACTCCTTGGATCTTCTTCCCGGTGACGGGGCACTTCGGTCCGCTCGCGCGCTTCTTGGTGTACTGGTACACAAGCCTCCCGCCTAATCAACAACAACAACAACGAGACTCAAGATCCGAGAAAATCATGCATAAAATTGAACGAACAGTGCGATATCCGATGTGAAGGGTCATAAATCCCTCGCGCAGATCCATCTAACTCCTAACCAAGACATGAGCAGAGCAGCGAGAATCCTATCTCCACAACCCGCACGAACAGAAACAACGCGCGATCGACCACGCGAGGGCGAGGCGCCGGTCTTACCTGGGGTCTTGACGACGCGGGTCTGGTTGGATTTGGTGGCGTAGCTGTGCCGCTTCCGGTAGGTGAGCCGCTGCACCATCTTGCCGCCGGCCGCCGCTTCTCCTGGGCTCTGGCTCTCCGCGCGCTCTTCCTCTCTAGCGTGGCGGCGGGGAAGGGGGTGAGGAGGAGAGATGGAGGAGAGATTTTATAGGATGGCTGATGGGCCGGATGACCTAGATCTGACGGCGGGAGATGATTTGGCGAGCGAATAGACGGTCCGATCTGTGACTCGGGGTTACCAGGACCTTTCAATATGTGGATGGTCTGAATTTGGTTTGATGCTCATACATATTCCACCTTGTTCTGATTCAGTTCAAAATCCATTTTATAGTAATTTTACCCGCTTTTTGTTCTGATTCTATTTATATTTTCTTACTCCCTCTGTCCTTAAACAAATCAAAAGATAAAAGCACTTTAGGTCCATCAACTTTTTGTGTTATATCATTTAGATCCATTAACTCTGAAAGTACAGGTTTGAGTATATGAACTTTTTAATCTGTGCTATGTAGGTCCAAATCTGTCCGTTTGGGAATTAGATCCTACGCGGCAATGCATGACAGCAGCCACCATGTCCGTAGGTCATGTGAGCAGCACGTGAGGGCCCTTTGCCAATCGTTTTTTGCCGATAGCCCCCTATGCTTTCTATTCCCTCACTCTTCACCCCTTCCTCTCCCTTCCCTTCGAAGCCATCGCCTTCAGACGACGCCGGGGCGTTGGGTGGGACAACGGAGGCGGCGGGTGGTACCAACGACGACGTAGCCGGTGGAGGCGGTGAAGATTGTGCGGGGTGGTGGTGCTGAGCGCTGACTGCCGCGCAGATCGCGGCCGGTCGGCGCGATGGTGGCCTCTTTGCGACCACTGGGGGCACGGGCGCCACAGTATGGTGAGTTCTTCTATGTCATGAACTCTGAAATCGGTTGGTTTAGGAGGTATTTCTTGCGTCGATTGGCTCGCTTGTTATAGAAAATATCTTCTTTTGTCGGCTAGGATTTCATGTATTGGTCATTCATGCTGTAGATTTTGGGGTTTTCTTCTGTAGGCACTGATGACGAAGAATTCTCAGTGGAAATGCATCACGGGGGGTGCTTTGTTTCTCAAGGGTTAAACAAAGACTATCTGGGTGGAAGAGTCAGTTGGTTTGACCACGTAGAAGTTGCTAAATGGTCTCCTCTTTTCATAGAGCAACTTGTTTTTAAGTTACACTACCCAAAGAATCCAAACATGAAGGTGTTATGGCTGCTACCTAGGAAGAAACTTTCAAATGGGTTGAGATTAATTTGGTCTGACACAGACACAATGGTAATGTCCTCATTAGTTCACAAGTTTAAGAATTTTGTGCTGTATTTGGACCATGATGACAACCTTTCTGGTTTACAATGGGATGACAATGTTGCAAACCCATTGAACTCACCTCCCAAGGTTTTCAGTCCTATGAAGACTATGCATATGGACGATGCATATAGTGGGAGGGTTGGTGATCACAGTGGAGAGGACCCTGATTTTGGTGATGGTAGAGATAATGACAGTGTTGGTGATCACAGTGGAGATGACCCTGATTTTGGTGATGGCAGAGATGATGACAATGCTGGTGATAACAGTGAAGAGGACCCTGATTTTATTGATTCTGACTACGAACTGGATGCAGATGATGATGACCTTTTTCAGTATGCAGATGATGAAGAAGGAAGCAAAAAGAAAGATAAGGGCAAGAAAGCTTTTAGTGTTGTATCAAATATTGAAGATGACATGTCAACAGAAGATGATGAGCCGCAGTTGCCTGAATCAGATGATGAAGGTGGAGAAAGCCTAAGGTTTTAGACTTTTAGAGAGCAGGATATGCATAACCCAATATTTAAGTTAGGTCAATTGTTTGCAACCCCTGAGATTCTAAGGAAAGCAATTACAGAATACAGTTTGAAGCACATGGTTAAAATTAAATTGCCAAGGAATGAGAAAAAGAGGATTAAAGCACATTGTGCAGAAGGTTATCCTTGGAACTTGTATGCTTCAGTGATAGCAGATCCCCTGGTATGGTTATCAAGCAATTCAATGGACAACACACATGTCAGAAAAAGTGGGTTTTGAAGAGGTGCACATCAAGATGGCTTGCTGACAAGTATCTGGAAACATTTAGGGCAGATCAGAAGATGAGCCTCACAAATTTTGCTAGGTCAGTACAGAGGGACTGGAACATTACTCCAGCAAGGTCCAAGCTTGCTAGAGCTAAAAGATTAGCTATGAAGAAAGTTATGGGAGATGAGGTGGAGCAATACAAGTTACTTTGGGACTATGGTCATGAACTTAGAAGAAGTAACACAGGCAGCAGCTTCTTTCTGAACCTGGATGGCAATGTATTTAACACATTGTACATGTCATTGGATGCATGTAAAAGAGGTTTCTTGACTGCATGTAGGCCTATCATATGCTTGGATGGATGCCACATTAAGACTAAGTATGGTGGACAAATACTAACAATTGCCATTGGAATAGTGGAAGTGGAATCACTAGTGACATGGAAGTGGTTTTTGGAGACATTGAAAAATGACCTTGGCATAGATAACACATATCCTTAGACCATCATGACAGATAAACAAAAGGTGAAAACAGCACTATATCCTTTGTTGTAGTTGTTTGCTAGGTGAAAACACCATTTTCATATGTTTGTACTTTTGTTTTCAGAGTCTTATTCCAGCAGTTCAATAGGTCTTCCCTGACTCTGAACATAGGTTCTGTGTCAGACACCATTTTCATAGCTTACTTCAGCACATTTCTAAAGTGTGACCTGTTGCTGAACAACAGCTGTGAAGTGTTCAACAGTTATATCTTGGAGGCAAAGGAGATGCCAATTCTTAGTATGCTAGAGCAGATCAAGGGACAGCTAATGTCCAGGTTCTACAAAAAGCAGAGGGAGGTGGGAGAAGGGTGGCAGGGACCCATCTGTCCTAAGATAAAGAAGATAATTAATAGGAACACAGAATGGGCCAATACATGTTATGCAATGCCTGCTGGACAGGGCATATTCCAGGTATAAGATAGGGACTATAGTTTCATAGTGGACATCAAAATGAAGACTTGTGATTGCAGAAGGTGGGACCTCACTGGAATCACTTGCTCTCATGCAATTTCATGCTTGAGGCATGAAAGGATCACACCAGAGTCAGTTGTACCTGAGTGTTACTCTTCCAATAGCTATCTCAGTGCTTATGGCCATAATGTGTGGCCATGTAAAGACAAGAGCGCATGGCAGAAAGTTGGAGGCAATGTAATTCTACCACTAGTATATGTGAAGAAAGTTGGAAGGCCTCCTAAATCAAGGAAGAAGCAGCCATATGAGGTATAAGGTAGTCATGGACCAAGGTTGACAAAGCATGGAATTAAAATGACATGTAGATACTGTGGAGACAAAGGACATAACAGGGCTACATGTAGCATGAGAAAGGCTGGACTTCCACCCAAGACACCTGCATAGAGGAGCCAAACTTCTATGCCAGTTGAAACTGAAGAGGTTTTTGAGGAAGCTGCAACTGAAGTTTATAGTGACATGAAAATGATGCCAATTCAAACTGCTATGCCAGTGATTAGTCAGGTAGCTGCTCATGTGACAACACATTGTACTAGTATGTCTTATCTAAGTTGTCAATTATATGTTACAGGTTTCCATGTTTGAAGAAACTGACATGCCAATGATGTCCCAGTTATCAAGTACCATGATGTCCCAGATGCAAGCAGAGGTTAGTGTCACTGTCATTTAATTCCTCCAGATCATCCAGCATCTCATTCAAACTAATCATCTCCATTCTCAGTCATCACAGTGTAGATTACTGGAAAAAGAATCACTTCCATTTTCAAGCTTCATATTGTCTAACCAACCAGCAGCTAGGCCAGTTCCACCCACTACTGCAACACAGGCTGGGAGATCAAGGTCCACTGCTGTGAAGAAAACAACTGCTATAAAGAAGACTGCGGCTGGCAAGAAGAAAACCTCCCACAAGAAGGTTTCTGCTGCAATGACCAATCCTGATGGTGCTGTTGGTTGAAGAGGACAAGTAATGATGTGTGTGAAATTGTAAATCATGCAAAAACTCTAAGTGCATGTTCATTTTTTCTACCTTTTGTACAGCAGAAAGATGACCTTTTAGTTAGGTATAAGTATGTGAATGTTTCAGCTCGAAACATTACAAAACTGTGTGAATATTTTAGCTGCAAACATTAGGAAACAAACTAAAGATTTCCTATCTTTTGTATATGGCTTTTGGTATGCTATACCAGCAAAACTATATGTATGCTTTGGTTGCAAAACAATGCTCCAGCTCACTAGAATGATATCAAAGCATCTTTGGATTATCAGTTAATTTTTTGTGTACACTCTATGCTTGTTGAAATCAGTTTGGATTTCTTTCATTTTTCAAGATGACAGAAAAATTACAAACTCACATTCACATTTTAGACAATACACCTTCAAATTGCATAGAACTTCATAACTTAGTCATTCATCCGTACACATTCAGACCTTAATGGTGATTACAACCAGGATTAAGAACAGCAACAAGGTAATACATAGAGCCATGAAACAAGTCAGTTGCATCAACCTAACTAAGTTGTCACCAGTTCTAACCAAGGTTTCCAAATGTTTCACAATATCAACATCAACAACAATGCCTCTTTCCTTCTTCATCCCTATGGCTGCTTCCTGCTCTTTGGATTCCACAGCTTGCTCGGCATTGGAGGCACTTGCTTGCCCCAGCGACATTAGATGTTGAGAAAATCCCATGCCCTCCTTGTTCAAAGAATCAACATGTTCGATATACTCCTTCTCCCATTTGAAAAAGGGACAGCTCAAGCCTTTGCGCTACAAGCAAGAGGAAAGGATCAATCTTCACTGCAAACTGCAATGTAAACATCCAGTCGAATCAAAACAGTTTGAATCTCACCTTGTGGGCCGGGCAACAGTAGAAAACCTCACCGTCGCTCTAGGGTTGCTTCGAAATACACCAAACCACCTGCCACTTGTGGCATTCTGTGCACCTAATCAGTGGAACA